AAAGTCACATCCCTGTGCTGTACAGAAGCTGAGGGCAGGGTTGGAACTCAAACCAGGGTGGTCTGAGAGCTGGAATGCCTATCCAGGACCCCTTCCTGCTGTTGAAAGGAAATCCAAAGGAAGGTGAGATGAGCAAGAGGTCAACCAAGAGATCTCACCAGAGATCTATGGGGTAAAGACAGCATCTGGACCACGTCGTCCAACATGCTGTCTGCAGCTGTCACGTGACCAGGAGCCAGTAAAGACATCTTATTCAGAGGTCTTTTCTCTGGCATGTCTTATTTCCAAAGGCCATCTTGCTCATCTCACCTTCCTTTGGACCTTGCATGTAAATGGTGTCCTAGAACATATGGACTTCCATGACTGGCTTCTTTGCTTAGCACAATATTATATGATTAGTAGTTCCTTCCTGTTTTATGGCCAAATAATATTCTGGCATATGGATGTACCACACCCTATTTATCCATTTACAGACATCTGGGTGGTTCCATTTTCGGGCTACTGCGACTAATACTATGAACATTCACGTATAAGTGTTATGCGGACCTATGTTCGTTGGGCACGTACCTGCAAGTGCAATTGCTGGGTCACATGATAACTCTATGCTCAACATGTTGAGACGCTGCCCAACTGTTTTTTCCAGGGAGAAACAAGGAAAGATCTACACCTGATGAATGTCCAAGGGGCAGGAATGATGGCCAATGCTTGATGTTCTTAGCACTTCAGGAATTACTAAATGGACTGGATCCGAACAGGAGGTCACATTCTGCGTGGGTAAAGAAGCCAATGCCCAGACCCACACCCTTGCTTCCCACCCACACCGCCCAATTCTGCCCAGCCCTGCTGTCCCTCGGCGCCTCCTCCTTCCCGATGCTAGCTGTCAGGAAAACTGAAGTTGTGGCAGCCGAACTTTGTCACTTCCCATGGGAAAGGCTACGTGTTCAGCTCTCCTGCACTCAGCCATCTTGCCCCTCACCTGAGCTCCCCGCTTGCAGCAGACACAGGACTTGGGGTCCCAGGGAGTGCTCCCTTGGCTGCCACAGGTTTTCCTAAGATGGAGCCAATGTGTCTTTTTTTTTTTTTTTTTTAAGATTTAATTATTTGTTTGAGAGGGAGAAAGAGAATCTCAAGCAGACTCCCTGCTGAGCGCAGAGCCCACCAGGGCACTCAGTCCCATGACCCTGAGACCATGACCTGAGCTGAAATCAAGGGTCAGCTGCTGAACCAACTGAGCCATCCAGGCGCCCTCAGGTGGGACCACGTGTAGTAAGATCTCAGGAGCCCTCTATGGGCTAGGAGTTGCCCAGGAGCAGCAAGAAGAGTATTGTGGCTTGTACAAGCGTTTGAGAACTATGGCTATTGGCAGGGAGAAAACCATCCAGTTTTTTGTTGTTGTTGTTGTTTTTATCGATTTATTTATTTGAAAGAGAGAGCACCCACGCAACTGGGGGGAAAGGCAGAGGGAGAGACAGAATCCCAATCAGACTCCCCACTGAGCACAGAGCCTGACATGGGACTCGATCCCACAACACTGAGATCATGACCCAAGCCGAAGGCAGATGCTTAACTGACCAAGCCAACCCCCAGGCGCCCCGACCCTCGGTATCTATCAAGTAGAAAAGGTAAGGCTGAGGTTGTGGCAGATGGGGCTGATTACCACCCAACAGACACACTCACGGCTGGAAGCTCAGATCTTGGATCACTGAGGTGCCCATTGGGGCTGAGTTGTGGCCATTGCTGTCCTCTTTGTCCACAACTGGTTTAGGACAGGTGAACACCTCAGGTCTAGCCAAAGAGATGTCAGAGAAAATTTGCCGGGGGGTATCCTGCAAAAGGGTTTCCTTTCTGATGAATGGGAGGCTTGCAAGAAAAGCCCTGTTCTTTCCCCTGTTGGAAGTTGCTGAGCGACGACACAATTCTGGCACGCCTACAACCACAATCACGTGACCATGGGCTGGGAGGGTTGGCGAGGAAGGTGGAGGGAGGATGCCGGGATACCAACTCAGACCTGTCACTGCTGACTTACTGAACCAATCACGTACTTCAGATGTCTTGTTACCTGAAAAAAAAAAAAAGTCTCCTCAAAGAAGTCAGCATCATGGGCATCAGGTGACTTGCAGCTCCTGACAGAGAAGCAAGCTTGAAATCCCGCCGCAGAGAAAACCAGGCGAGGACCAGTCTCCAGGTGGGGCGCCTGTCTAATCCAACCTGGACACAGGTGCACCTGAGCTCTCCAAGCCAGGAAATTCCCAAGCCTCCTGCCTCTTCCTCCTCCTCCTCCTCGTCACTCCAGGATGACTCCTTGCCGTGGGAGGGCCTCAGGGCTGTCCCTATGGCACCTCCCAGGAAAGGGGGCCAGCCCATCACTGCAAGTCCCTTGCTTTGGTGTGGGATGGTAGTCAAGAGAGGTGGCCCCAGAGTCCTGCTGTACATTCTCGGTACTTACCCTCTATGCCTCGGTTTCTACTTCTGCCACAGGGATAACAGTGTCTTGCTCACAAGGTGATTGTGGATGAAACATCAAGTGCATCCAACATGGTGTCATGGGTCCCCGAGACCACCCTCAAGTTCAGTGATTCACTAGAACTCTTTGCAGAGTAAGAAAAGCTGTTACACACATGATGACAGTTTATTACAGCTGCTGGATGCAGGGTCCCCTCCAACAGTTAGGAGAAGGCCTAGAATGAACGAATTCTCTGGGCAGGTAAGAGCCACGAATGACAGGCGCTTTTGGGAAGCTGGTTTCAGTCCCGCGGAGGGAACAAAACGCACCGTGGGGGCCGCTTGTGGGCCCCGAGGTAGAGGGAAGCTCGGCAGCTGTGAGATACTCCAATCCCGCACGTTCCAAGAAAGGTCTGGCTCCTGACAGGCCCTGGGAGATAACCTCCAAGCAAGTCCTTGCAGTCTGCTCTCTGATAAGACACTCTCTGTTTTACCCCGGGCCTTGGGCCTCGACAGATACTTAATGCTAATCACATGATTCAGCTAGCGCCCCTGCCGAGCTGTATCAGCTTGACCTTGGGAGTGGCTAGAGGCTGAGTAAGCAAGGTCAGCCATGGAGGGGCTCCGGGCCGGTAATTACCCACCAGTAAAACCTTCAACACCAAGACTTGGGTAAGCCTCCCTGGCTGACAATACTTCACACGTGTCGTCACACCTTGCTGCTGGGAGAATTAAGCACTGTCCCCACAGCTCCACTGGGAGGGGAAGGGACAACTGGAAGCTTACACCTGGTCTCTCCTGGTCTCTGGCCTGGGCTCCTTTACCCCTCCTCCCAGAATTCCCACAAACACCGTCAATCCTGAGCAGCCATATTTACCTGCTGAACCTACAGTCGACGCAAAGCCCTTTCCACATGAATTCGCATTAGAGCCAGTTTTCTTGTACAAAGCAGCTGATTTTTTTTTTTTTTAAGTGAGTGCAGTGCCCAATGTGGGGCTTGAACTCACGATCCCAAGATCAAGAGTCACCTGCTCTACTGACTGAGCCAGCCAGGGGCCCCAGAAGTTGATTCTTTTAAAGCCCTTCTTCTATGTAGCCGATCAAGTTCTCCTTCTAAGACACATTTGTACACACACGGGCATCCCGCACAAGTTCTAAAGGTACAGGAGTGCCCTCCCACCCCGCAAAACGGTCCTTTCTCACAGAGCTCACCTTAGCAAGATCACGAAGCTCCCCTCGTGTATTCAAGGAGAGCTCAGCAGACGCTCCTAAAGTTCCCCAAATACTACACAATGGTTAAAACAAGCAAAGCCTCTAGAGTTAGACATTCCTAAGCTCAAATCTCAGCTCTACCACTTACCAGCTGTGTGGCCTTGGGCAATTTAGCCTCTCGGAGCTGTGGCTTCCTCGGAGTCTGAAAGTGAAGGTTAGAGCTGTACCTGCCTTCGAGGGGCCGAGTCTGGGGCCGGGAACACAGCTCATTCGTGACAACCGTAGCTCCGGCGGTGATGGGAATGTCGCTAGTGTCCGTATTACTATTTCTTCAGCTGTACCTTCCAAGGCAGAAACAGTCTGGAGTTAAAATAGGGGTGCAGCCTTCAGGGTGGACAGTGACAGGTGGATAGAGCTATCAGCAGGGGATCATGGGGTCCTTGTGTGAAGGTCAGCGTGGGGGTTCCAGGTGCCCGAATCTTGTTGGGAGTGATTCTCTGAAACAGGAGGGCAGATGGGGCTGAAGAAGAATGTCAGAGGGTCTGGCAAGGCTATGAGACCCCGGCTGGGAGGACAGAGGCCCCGCTGGGCTCCGGAGCAGACTCTGGCCTCCAGAGTGACTTCTCACTTCTGCGGTTTGGGGGAGAAACCCATTACATGACAGCATTTGGTGGGGGGACCACAGAGAGGATACGCGACTCGATGAACCAGAGTCTCACTGGAACTAAAAGACACAGTGACAGTGAAGGAAGCCCCAAGTCACCAGAAGAGCAAGTCCATGAAGAGCCTGGTGTGGTTCCAAACGGGCAGCAGGATGATGAGCACGGACGACCAGCCTTGAACTACAGTCAGCCTCCCCCTGGGCACAAGGGGGAAGCGGCACTTGCGCCCAAAGGGGCCTGAGAAGTAGGGGGGATGGTGTGTGGACACGGCCTGAGAAAAGTCTGGGCACCGTAACCGGTTCTGCTCCATGGGTCAGGCGTGAAAGCCAGCGGCCCTTCTCTGGAACCCACCCACTCACGGGGTCTGAGGCTCGGTGCATCTGTGCACGAAACTCACCAGACCCCACCCACCCCAGCCCTAATGAGCTGTGTCTGATCTCTTCGGCCAGAGTAATTGTGAAGGAAGTTCAGCTGCGCCAGAATCAGGAAACACAGGTGAGACAGGGCGGTCTAACTAGGAAAGCAGGCAGAAAAACCCACGAGGCGGGGATGTGAACCACAAAAGGACAGTCCTCGGAGGCCGGTCAGGGCTCCGGGGAACGATCGACCCCTCTCAGGGGACCATGCATCATTGAGTAACGACCAGGAGAGCCTTGAGTCATGAAAAGAAAGGTAAATCTGTTCAACACATCAATTTAAGAAGATTAAAAACAACCATGTTATACATTTGAGCGACATGACCGTTACAAACAGGAAACCAGTTAACGGTGAAAGTTACAGGTGTCTGAAAGCCGGAGGGGTGGGGCGCCTCCTTCTGTGACGATGCTGGGCAAGCGAGCTTCACCAAAGAACATACTGGGGCCTGTTCGCCTCTCAGCAAGGTGTTATTGAGGTAGAAGGAAAGCAGTGAACACGGAGAGGGGAAGCGAATGGACGGGGACTTAGGGTTGGTCCTTCCACTGAAAACAAAATCTTCTGCTCGGCGGCTCCGCTGGAAGCTGGGCTCCCGCCGGGGGGAGGCATCAGTCTGTCTGGATCTTCCTGGGGGCGCCGAGCGCCTCCCGGCCGGAGCCCAGCAACATGCGCTCCAGCCGCTTGCAGTGCTCCCGGAGCTGCTTCTCACGGGGCAGCAGGAAGGTGAGGACCTTGTTGCGCACGACGCCCCGGTCCTCCTCCTCCCTCAGCCGCTGCTTCACGCGGGCCGCCTGCTCCTCCTGCTGCGCCAGCTCGCCGTTCATCTCACAGAAGGCGTCCTCCAGGTAACGGATGGCCTTCAGCGCCTCCTTCTTAAAGTCCTCCAGCTCCCGCTGCACCCCGGCTACCTTCTGCTGCAGGAGCTCCAGGTCGGCTGGGGGCAGGAGGCAGGAAGGCCAGGACTGAGGGAGGGAGAAGTCTCCAGACTGGAGGCCACTCTCCACCATCTTCTTCCCTTGTAAGGTGTTCACCTGCATGAGGATGGACCCAGCATGGTAGAGAGGTTCCATCGCTTCTCCTCCCGTTCGGACAAAGAGAGGGAGCTAAGAGACCTGTCTGGTCCGTGGATTTTTCTTTCTTTTTTTCTTTTACTTTCCTTTTTTTTTTTTTTTTTTTTGGCTAGAGACAATCCTTTGGAGTGGAGAAACCCCATGCATTGTGATGTCGGGGTCCCTTCAGCCAACCAGGAGGAAAGCCACAGTCGACTCATTTGCATATTGTAGCCTCCTTGGTTGGTATCCACGGCTATTTCTGCTCATCTGCCCAAGCTGTCTTCCTATTATGTGGATTTTCATCGACTCATTTCCCCTCCCAGAACCAAAGCGCAGTCTCTGCTTTTACTGGAGGGACAAACCGAGGCCCAGAGCCAGGCAGCGAAAGGACAGCGCAAGGCAGGCCGGGCCAGTGAGCCAGGCACGGGTGCTCCCCCACGCAAATAGTCTCTGGCCCTCTGCTCCTCACAGGCAAACTGGCTTCTCGGCCATCTCAGACCTTCTAAAGTCTTCACAGCCTTTCCTCCTGAAGCACTTACTATCTTCACGCTCTTTTCTTGACCTGGGACTTTGTCCTTCCAGATCCCCTGGCACAAGAAATTCCATGGGTCATTGTAATAGTTGATGCCTAAGCTCACTTCCAGCTCTAAAAATGCTGAAAAAGAAGAAGATGACGACGAAGAAGGAAAAGAAGGAGAAAAAGTAATTTTTTATTTCAAATCATACTCTTTTTTTTTGGTTTTATTTATTTATTTGTGAGAGAGAGCGAGAGAGCACAAGCAGGGGCAGTGGCAGGCAGAGAAAGAAGCAGGCCCCCCCCCCCTCCAAGCAAGGAGGCTGACACAGGACTCGATCCCAGGACCCTGGGATCATGACCTGAGCCAAAGGCAGACAGGTAACCAACTGAGCCACCCAGGCGCCCCCCACATCCATACTCTTATAACAATGCCAGCATTCTAGATCATCTTAGAAGTTACGAGGCACATACTTGGGTTTTAATGTGTGGTCCATGGCAGTGCTGAGTCAGCTTTGTGTGGGGTGAAATCAGGTCATTCCCTCATTTATTCAGCAAGTACCGAGTGCTCACTCTGCACCTTGACCACGGAGCAAGTGGGGCAAGTGCCCAGCGCCCCACTCCTGCCCTGCTGGGTCATGCCTCAGTGTCAACACAGATGAGAAACATACAAAGGGTGAATCTCGCACTTCTTACCTGAATACTCTAAGAAAGGAAAATGTTTCTAGCTAGCTTTTGTCAGTTTAGTCGAGAACAGACCTCTATCCTGCCTGTCTCAGTGTCCTGCGCCGACTTCTCTCCTAGCCTCCACGTGTGAGCATCTCCAACACCGTGCTTCAAATCCAATCTATCCGAAGCTGGACTAGTTCCCATTTTGCCCAAACTGCTTCTTGTTCCAATGCCGCCATGGGTAGCACCCACACAAGAAACCAAGGATTAGCCTAGACCTCTCTGCATCCAAGCATCCAAGGGCTCTAGGTTCTCTTGGCTTTGCCCTAAGCTAAGCACCCCAGGACAAACTGCCCGGGAGGGGTCTCAGCTCCACCACCTATAAGCTGTGTGTCTTTGGCAGACGACCTCACCTCCTCTATAAAGCAGGGATGCTAATTCAGTGGTGTGCAGCTCCCTGGGTGGTGGGCAGAGGTGGGGGGCAAGGGGAAGGTTCTGATGTATAGCTGTTGCCAATTTCCATGGTATGACTGCTCCCACCATGGCTGCGTTTGAGCACCTCCAGGTAGACGCGCACACAGTCAGCTCTCGTGAGTGGTGCGAGGGGACCCCAGCACCACAGGACGTTTCATGAGGACAGCTGCCATCCCCGAGACGAGGACTGACCTAGCTGGAGTGCCTTGCAGGAGGCATCAGAGGTGGCATTTTGAGAGGTAATGGCAAAACTAAGGCAGTATTTTGAATCTCAAGGTGGGGCAGCAGCCCCAGTTATTGAGGCAGAATGTTTGGTGAAAAGAGCACTGTTGTAGGAGTCAGCAGATTGGGAGTCTGAAATTGCTATGTGACCACGGGTCAGTCACCTACCTCCCTTCTCTGTTCCCTCTGATACAATGTGAGCAGGTGGGAGATGGCTTCTCTGCAGTCTCTGGTCCTAAGATCCATGCAGGCCTTCCTTTGAACCATTCCTGAGGCACTTACCCCTTTCACCATTTTTGTGACCTGGGAGCTTATCCTTCCAGTCCCCAAGAGCACAATAAACTCCATGATGACAGCGAGCGTACATTTCTCATCCTTTTTTTTTTTTTAAGAATTTTTATTTATTTATTTGACAGGGAGAAGCACAAGCAGGTGGAGTGGCAGGCAGAGAGAGAGAGGGAGAAGCAGACTCCCCGCTGAGCAAGGAGCCAGATGTGGGGCTCAATCCTAGAACACCAGAATCACGAAATGAACCTAGGGCAGTCGCTTAACTGAGCCACCAGGCTCCCTGCATTTCTCATCCTATGTACCCTCGAGTGTCCTGCCTGTTGCCCTGCACATAATGGCACTCAGAGAACTAGATGAAATTGAATTTATGTCCATAGGTGGCTATCAAATCCAGCGACTCCCCTAACTTTCCCTCTGACATGGCGCCACCTACTGGCCTGAGCGGGAACAGCATGTTCTTTATTCTCTTGCCCAAAACCCCGCGGAGGGTCTGTGGAGCTGGTGTGGACAGACTTCCGTCTTGTGGTGTATCCGTTAAGGGTGGGTGTGCAGTCCCGCACATAGTAGGTTCTCCATGAGTACTTTTTTTGAATCACTGAAAGAAAGAATGTGGGTCTGTCTTCTGGTTTCTGTCATTTTTTAAGTGTCTTTTTCTATTTGTGCCTCTTTCTCTCTGATTTGGAGTCTCTGCCCCTTTCTCTCTGTCCCCCAGAGGGAATGGTGGAGGTCATAACCCGAACTGTGAAAGCAAAGTAGCAACAGTTAAGAAGGAATGGCAATCTCTCAATCTCCCTGGTGCTTTTTAAGGAGCTTTTGGTTCATTGCTCCCCAGAACCGGCCAGGGAGGGCCGCTCCCACAAGAGCCTCAGCAAGGTTGAGGGAGAAGGAATGAGTACTCTGTCCGTAGAAGACCCCAGACCTCTGGAACCTTCGGAGAGTCCTCAGCTGGGACAACCCAACGTGCACGTGCTCTGAATGTGCTCCTCCCCAAAGAAGAGTTATCATCCAGGGCTGTGCTTTCCTCACAAATTTCCTTCCAGTCCTAAGAAAGGAAGGGAACAGATCCACTGGGGCCCTTCAGGACGGCAAGGGCATCTCTGGCAAGGCATTTCCGGGCCACTGTCAGGAGGGTTTCCCTGCCCCTGGTCTGTTTCCACAGTTCATAGGTGCTCCGCGTCTCAAAAAAATGGGGGGCCAGGGCAGGAGGGTATCAACTCCACAGAGATCCAGACCCTACCCCCTGAGAATCAGACAATCGGAATGGATAGGGGCTCAGGAGTGGGCATGCCTTAGGAGGTGCAGGGGTGGGCACCGCTGGTTTGAAGCACATTCCTGCTGAGCTCTGCCCACCCTTTGAGAATGGAAACCACCTGGGTCATCAGCCTCCCTCAGCCTCTGCCATGTGTACCCTCCCCATGCTCTGACTACACGTACAAAATAAACTTGATCCTTTTGAGGATCAGGAAATAGGACATGTCTCAGGTACATTCCTTCATGTACGTTTTCTTTCTTTCTTTCTTTCTTTCTTTCTTTCTTTCTTTCTTCCTTCCTTCCTTTCTTTCTTCCTTTCTTTCTTTCTTTCTTTCTTTCTTTCTTTCAGCAAGAGACAGAGCACAAGCAGGGGGCAGAGGGAGAGGGAGAAGCAGGCTCCCCGCTGAGCAGGGAGTCTGACACCGTGTTTGATCCCAGGACCCTGGATCATGACATGAGCCAAAGGCAGATGCTTAACCAACTGAGACACCCAGGTGCCCCTTCATATGTTTCCTTTCTTTCTTCCCTTTTTTTTTTTTTTAAAGATAAATCTACTTAGAGAAAACACAAGCACAAGGTGCAGAGGGAGAAGGAAAGAGTCTCAAGTAGACTCTGCACTGAGCACAGAGCCCAGTGTGGGGCCTTGATCTCATGCCCCTGAGATCACACCCTGAGCCAAAACCAAGAGTTGGATGCTTAACCAACTTCACCACCCAGATGCCCCTGTGTATGTCTTTCAAGATGAGGGAAACCCTCCAGAGCTGCTCACAGCCCCATTCCCCACCCAACACACTGGCTGGGGGACGGAGGTCCTGAAGATAGCTCACACACATTACAGGGTCCCCTTCTGGGCTGGGGCTGGGCCTGGCCTCCCTGAAACCCCGGCCTCCCAATATAAGTCCTCCCAATATAATATTGGGGTTCTGTGCCCAAGTGAGATGGGGAGGATAGGCAACCATCTGGGGCTTCTGCAAAGAATAGTTCTATTTGAAGAGGAAATGGCGAAAGGCCCCTGCGTAATTCCCCCAAATGAATTATTGATGTCGGCCTTCAGGTGGTATGGAGAAATAATCTTCTAGGAAATCCTGAAAATGGGTCTATCTCTTCCCATCCCAAGAAAGAGTTATGAAAGAAAACAAAATTAGAGCAATCTCGCACAAACACCGAAAAGCATGTGGTTGGATGTTTCTAGAGCAGAACAGCTGTTGGCCCTAGCCAGAATATTCTTTTCCCAGAATCCCCTGAGCCTGGGCCTCCCTTGGCAGCTGCTGGCCTGGGCGAGGATGCGGTGACACAGCCAGCGTCTCCCCAGATGGACCCCTATCAACGACAACAATCTTGACACAGTGCATTTTAGATCCCATAAAGGGTCTTCCCTCTGTCCATCCACCCATCCCGCCTTTCGTCCAGCCATCCTTCCAAGCACGTATCCGGTGACATTTGCTGAGTACCTTCCCCGTGGACACTAAGTCAGCAAACAAGATAGAGAAGACCCCTGTTCTCAAGCCACTGGCGCTTCACTGGAAGGAGACAGACAATAAAGTGAAGCGATCAACAATTAAGGTGACGTGCGCTGGTGCTAAGTGCTCTGAAGCAAGTAAACCGGGCAGCGTGCCAGAGAGCCTGGTGCAGGGCTCTCAGGCAGGGTGTGTGGGAGGGAGGGCATTTGGGGTGACATAGCCTGGGGAGGACGCCTGGGAGTCATGTTCAAAATGGAAGCTCAAGTGGGAAGGCTTTAGGCAGAAACAGGCTGGAGGAACTTAAAAGGCCCTGCTGAGTGGGGGCCCTGAGGAGAAGGAAGGAAGGAGGGGTGTGGGGCCCCGGCCATGGAGAGGCATGGGATGGTACCCGCAGTGTACGCTATGTGGCATGAGAGCCACCAAGTGCTACCGTAGCTATGCCTGCCTTCCGGCCCCTGTGGCTGGTATTCCAGTCTGGGGAATGGGGACAAGGCTGGGGTGGGTGCGGGGCCCAGGAGCGAGCACCAAACTCAGTGCTGTTCCCCATGATTAATTAACCTGGAGCCAGAGCCCCAAGGCGCAGTGCTAAAAATACCTGCTTCCCTCTGAGACGTGGCAGCTGTCACCCAGCAACTGTTACCCATCGCCATTTGTCATAATTTGACACTGATAAGGAGTGTCCATGGGGCCGTGTGTCTGCAAGAGTCTGATCATCCCCAGCCCACCAGCCAGCTGGTCCTCGGAAACAGTCTGTGCCATTTCCTACCTGAGCCCTTCCCCCATCCCTGAGCCCCCTGCCTTGGCCACCCCTGGATGCGCCCGCCACCTGCCCGCCACCCGCCAAGCTCCTTTCCCCTCCTGGAAGCTGAGCGGCCCCGCCTCAGGGGGTGCTTGCCAAAGCCTTCTCCAGAGCAGGAGCCCATGGTCGGATGCGTGTTTCACACCGCTGCGGCCCTGCGGCTCGGACTGGAGCCATCTAGCAGGTGCTCTGCCAGCCCAGGGCGGCACTTTAATTAAAATATGTAAAACATCTTGGTGGAGTGGGTCTGAAGACACAGGAGTGGTCCTTGGACAGGAGAAATGCAGGGCCCCCCCCCCCGTCCCCCCCCGCCCCCTGTGGAGCTGGCCCCTCTCCAGCCCTGGAGGCCAAGGCTTGTGCCAGGAGGGCCTCCAAAGCGTGCTGGGGCGTGCTGACGTCTGTCTTGCACCATCCACTGCTCAGCTGGGCACGGAACTCAGCTGGGGCAGAAGAAGCCTCACAGAAGAGAGCCCCCCCAGAGCCCACAGGCCCGCAGGGCGGCCCGAGAGCGTACCAGGAAGGGCCCAGCATCACCCCAGTTGGAATCTTCTACCCTCGCCCTCAACACCAATTTTCTTAAAGGACCCCTCAGGATGCTGCTACCTGGATGTTTACATAAACTCTTCAGCAAAGCCAGTCTATCCCCCAGACTGAGAAGCTCCGGAGGTTTCCTCCTCACTCCGACGGCCTTCCACATGGGCAGGAACCTTGGTGTGCGCCATTTAGGACTGGCATGAGCAAGTTTTTTTGCACAATGATCCAATCAGAAAAAAAATACAGGCCTAAACTTTTAGTCCCCATCTTTCCTTAAAATCAGAAAACACCATTGTGCTAAACCTCCTTCCTTCCTCCCCATCGCAGAAGGAATCAGTGAGTCTTACTGAACTGTCAGGACCTGCAAGAGGGGTGACGTGGGCCCAGTGTCGTGTGAGGGGCAGTCTCCTTCCCACCCACAGCCTGGGAGGAGAGCGGGGGCAGGGGGCAGCCCAGGGGCTCTACAATTAGCCAGCACCGAAAGGCTTTATGGCTCCCTCTGGCCCGCACCCCTCTGGCCCTGGCCAACTTCTTCAGGCTGGGCTAGAGCCACTGTCTGCATGTCGGGGTGTCAGGCTGAATTATCTGAGCTTAAAAACCAAATCCCCTCCTTCCTGGGTTACTTAACTGTCTGCCTGGCGAGGCGGGGGGATTACTGGTGACAGACACCAGGGCCTGCCTGGCTGCTCCAGACAGAGGAGCTTTGATCACCTGGAAAACTCCAGACACCAGGACTCCTAATGATGAGTAATGACCTCAAACCATCGGAAAGTTATCCAGTATGCTGTGCGGCAGGGACACACACTGCTTCCCACCGGAGCCTGGGCTGGGGAGATAGGGTGCCGGCATCCTGTGACCTGGGGTGGGAGTGGGGACCCCACTCCCACCCCAGCCAGGGTCCTGCCAGCTCACAGATGAGGCAGAGGAGTTTCTGGCTCTGGGCACTTGGCTGTCACAGGGATGGTTAGGGGCTCAAGGGCTAGAGTTTATATTTGTTCGGGAGTGCAGCCCTCCCCATTCATTCATTCATTCGTTCATTCAACACACATTTACCGAATGACTACGATGAGCCAGGCATGGGGCTCACTGCTCCAGCAGATGACTAAGATGGGCTGTCTGTCCTGAGAGCACTTGGGACCTATAGTTTCCAGTGTCACACGCTCTGTGGCTGCGGGACTCCAGACCACCCACAGCAGGGGGCTTCAGGTTAGCCTGGCCCTTCTCGCAGGGACAAGGAGCAGGCAGAGGATGGAGTTTGAAGATCCCAGGCCTGCCTAGGCTTAACGTTCAGTTTGATCCTGTGAGAGGCCCCAGCCCTACGTCTTACCCACATCCCTCCGTCTGGAATGTCCTCCCGCTCTGAGGCTGGCTGGGAGTATGTCAACCGTGAGTCCTCTGTTTTGGCTTCATAGACACTTAAGCCCAATGATTCTCAAACTTTGATATATACTACAATCTTTGGGGGGAAGTGTTAAAAGTCATTTTTAAGGTCTGGATTTCTCCCTTTAGAGATGCTAATTCAGGTCTTGGGAGACTGAAGTCAGAGCAACCGATCCTCTTGATTTGCCCTAAACTAAGGGGGTTCCTAGGATGTGAGACTTTACATTTTAAAACCAGACCTATCCCAAGAGATCTGGGACAAGTCACCCTAGCTGGGGCAGACACATTAGTCTCTGCCCAATAACATTCCTTTCTCCCTTGCGTCATAGAATTTTATTTTGATCAGGCAATAACATGCTCGGGTAAGGTGAGCCATCACCCAGCCCCAGGCTGTGAGCCTCGATGCATCGATGCATTCAATATTGCCATTCCCCAGTGCTGCTGCCTCTGACACACTTCATACCAATGAGTTGTAAAGAAAAGGCATATGGAAAAGTATTACATCTGATGTAAAAGAATGAGATTCTGGGAGTGGAGGGGGCGCTCCTTCCTCTTTTCCTGGCTTGGACATAGTTGTATGAGAAAATGATGGTTGGAAATGTGGCAGCCATTCTGCAATCATGAGGCAACAAACCTAAGATAAGCAATTAAATAAAAAGATACCCTCCCCCCATTTTTTACAACATAAAACACCAAACCTCAAATTATCTACCTCCAGTTTAGCTGATATGTGACTAAATCTTTCTTGTTCAGGTAACTGTTGTCTGTCATTGTGTTAATTGCAGCCAAGCACATCATGACTGTTACAGGGGACCTAGAAATTAATATTTTTAACAAGATCCCCAAAATCATTCTGATGCTCTCCAACAAGCTACAACAACACTTCTCAAACCGTGGTCTTTGTATCAGCAACGTTCAGCATACCTGGGAACTTGTTAGAAATGCAAATTCTCAGACCCAACCCAGACCTTCTGAATCAGACACTCTGGGAGGTGGAGCCCAGCAGTCTGTGTTTTAACTAGGCCTCCAGATGATTCTGAAGATTGCCAGTTTTAAAATCATCGAGCTAAGGGGCATCTGGGTGCCTCAGTTGGTTAAGTGTCTTCCTAAGTGTCTTGATCTCAGGTCTCGAGCTTGGGATTGTGAGTTCAAGCCCCACAGTGGGCTCCAAGCTGGGTGAGGAACCTACTTAAAAAATAATAATAATAATAAATCATTGAGCTAATCAATATCTGAGACTCCCTAATACTAGACCCCAAAAACTTCTGGAGGAGGATTTTAAACTTAACCCATGTCACACCTGCTTCCTTGATTAGAAAACGTGATAGGTCTTCTTGCCTTCTGTGCTTTTTCTCCTCCCTCCCTAGTCTCTTCTCTTGGGAATCTTGCACTAGTCAGATGCTGTGGGTCAGATTTGTCCTGGCCTGTGTGATTGCCCAGCATGTGGTGATTGGGGAGGGAGGGAAGTCTTCGTGGTCAGAGCTGGCTAGGGCAGGAGTGAACTCAGGAGGCCCAGCCTACTGAAGGATTGTGGACGTCCGTGTCCCTGACCTGGTCATCCTGGCTAAGTGTGTCTATCCACCATGAATGCCCGCTCGTCAGCGTCACGGGGCACCACGGAAGCCCAGGAGGAGGGGAAGGGGGTGGCCCAAGCAGCTTCCCCTTCTCTTCCTTCCTCGGGGAGGCTCCAGCTGGCCTTTTATATTCCGGGGAGTCCCCCACTTCTCCACATAATGAATTACTGAACCCCCAGCGAGAGTCCAACAGGCAGAAACCGAACAATAGACTTCACGTGGTGCAGGGAATCCATTCTCAGTTAGCTAAAAAAGAAATTATTAAGTCCCTAATTACACTTCCTCATTACAATACTTTTTTCAGCGTCTCACATACAGTCCTGCATTTTGTTCTTCTTCTTCACGACTGAGTACACTGTCGAGTGATTCTCCTATAAGTATCGCATTAATAATAATAATTTACCAAACATAAAAATAATGATAATAAATCCTACCCTTCATTTAGTGCTGTCCACATAGCAGGCCCAGGGGCTTCCCACGCACTATCCCTTTGAGGCAGAAAATCCACCAGCCTCATGAGGCTACACCTTGGTCCCGGGGGAATTAGGTGTGTAAGTCCTACAGGGGTAGCTTCCTTTGTCCATCTTCCATTCGTATGTATCTGATAAGGCTGACCTGCCATCAGCTCTTCAAGCGCCTGCACCCCTCCCGCAGCAGGGGCCAAGCTTGCGTCGCTGCCCACAGGGACATGCTGGCCAGCAGCCTCCCACCCCTACCCCCGGGATGGCTGAGAAGGCAGGTCACCAGCTGAGGGTCTACACCCCAAATCCAGCATGCGGAAGGTACCCAGTGGAATTCTGAAGTGTGTTGTCAGAGAGTGAGGGTTGTGCCAAGTCCTGCCTGGCCAGTCTCTGGTCAGGCGTCCCTGATGTCGCTGGCTCCCACTCACTCCCACTGGTCTTGTGTCGGGCTCATCTCTCAGAGGGCTCCCCAACCCCTAGCCAGCAACAACCGGGGTACAAACAACCAGGCACGCTTCTCAGGAAGAGCGGGGATCACCGGTATTCAGGTCCCGCTAACACCCATGGGCAGACACACGTCTATCTCACGATCATCACTGGCTGGACACGTCCTCAGCTGATCTCACGATGAACACTTCTCTTGGCTGTAATTGTTTGGTCATTATTACAACCGAGACTGGACAGCCAGTGACATGGGTTGCTACTAAGGACATGACGGTTGGCATAGGCAGTAAAGCCAGAAAAGGCTGATGATCTGAAGGAAACATTCCAGGCTATCTCAGGGCCCTCCCACTGAGGGGAGTCAAGGTAGTATATGAGCCTGAAGAGCTAAGCAAAGAAGACTCTCGGCTGCCAAATTTGAGGCGGCTCCTGCGGCCAGGCCACGGGGCCAAGCAAGCTGGTTCCTCCCACACCCTGTGTTGACGGACACCAAGCCACGGCCCCCCTCCCACAGCGCCCCCTTTCCTTCTGCTTGCCAGCCTGGGGCATCTCAGCAGCTCCCCTCCCCGCCAGCCACAGAAACACTTTCTTGCCACAAGCCGGGTTGCTCCAAGCCACCCAAGGCCCATCCAGGGGCTAGAGCAGAAAACCCTGAAAAAGGTCTAAAGACAATCCTGGCTTTTAAAGGCTCCTTGGTGTGATTCACAGCACTCGGGTTGGGGAGGGGTCAGAAAGATCTCTCAGGTTGGGGAAGACAGCTCAGTAGAGCTTGGCCATGGCTTCCCAGGGAACTGCTTCTGAGACACAGTGTTCTGGGCATAATAAAAACTTACACTCTGCCGGAAAGGTGCTCACTGCAGACCCCTGCCAGGGTAGGGTGTTTGTCAGAGCCCAGGAAGGGGCCACGAGGGGCCCCCCACGCACCCTCAGAGTCACAAAGCCTTCAGGAATCAATCACCTTCTGCAGGACGCGCATCCTGTCTGAGCAGCCGCCTTTTCTCCCTCTGTGCTTGCCGGGGGAGGTCAGAGTTCACATCAAATGTCATTAATCATCTTCCCGGGGGCTGGGGCCTCCTTGGACAGTCCTATTAATCAGAGGCCTATCACACCCGCAGCCTGGCTGGGTCGCCATTGTCCTGTTTCTCACCTATCATCAGAAGATTAGATTATCAGTGACAACTGAGACACCCTTTGAGTCGCAGGGAAGCCAGAGAATGGGGTTGCTTCTATTTTTTTATTTATCCTCCCGATTTGAGGATGAGCTGTTTCTTGTCTTGTCACACTGCATCCTTTTCTTCAAAGAATCAGCTTTAGGAATCCAATTTGTCAAACTGGACAATCATTGGCAAATCCATAAAAAAAAAAAAAAGAAAGAAAGAAAGAAAAAGAAAAAAAAATCTCAGCGACTTTATCAAAAGAAGTAAAATAAAGCAGAAGGTTTTAAGTGGAGCCTGAAAGGATTAGAAAATAAGTTGCGTTTGACAACAATTAATCTCTGGAAAGCGGAGCTTTGTCAAAAAGGCACAGGCAGACATGTGTCCAAAAGGGATTCTGGAAATCCACACCGGAGTCTATCCAGTGCCTGGGCATGACCCCTCTTCCGGGGGGCGGGGGGGGGGTGTGTGTGTCAAGGCGAGACCCGGTGCTGAAAAAGAACAAGAAAGAAGTCCTGAGTGTTTTCTCCTGATTTTCTGCCTACCAGCAACCATGGCGGCGACACAAAGCGCACAGCTCCCCGGTTCTCCTGGGGCTGTGACTGTCTCTGTACTGGGCAGTGACTGAGCCCATCCTAGTGGCCGGTATATGGGGTCATCCAGGAAGGAGGCGCTTTCCTGCCCTGACAAAGTACAGAGATCAGGGGAGCCCCTGTGACACCTGAATCAGTTAGATGGGACAAACCTTGGTGACATGGCACCCAGAGGCTGCAAAACCAGCTGAGGGGTTGGGGAGGGGTGGGGGCAGAGAAGCAAAGAGAAGCCAGGGTGGGGCGCGGCCCACAGAGCTCTCAAGAGGGTATGAGGCCTCGTCCTCTACTCATTGTCGCCTGGTGGGAAGGGGAGTTCAAATCCTTCAGATCTTCCTGGTTTTTGCTAGATTCTGGAGACCCGGGCTTTCATGTGAACACTCCCTGTTTTAAGTGTCGGCAATAAAAAAAGAAAATCACCGTGCATATTAGCAAAACCTGTTGGGGGGCCACTTTGGCCCCCACACCTGGGATTTGCGACACTGATCTAATCTGCCCGCCTGGGTGCAAATAAGATCCATGGGGCGTGGAGAAGCTGGAAACTTGCAGAGCTAACCCAGCTGGTTAGAAGCAGAGCCAGTTCGAGAGCCTGGTTCTTCAGACTCCCAAACCAGTGCTCTCAGCTCTGGACCTGATTCTGTAAACCTGTAAGGGACCAGTTAGCAGGTACAGTCATCCAAGTGCAATGAAAGTGATTAGAATTAAGAGATCCTAGACCCTACGACCTCACCTTGAAATCAGAGAAGGGACTGAGACTCTAAGTCTCAAGTGACCGTCGTACCTTTCATGCTGTCTTCTTTTAATTTGCTACCTGACCAACTAGCTTTCAGTGATTCTCTGTGTGGCCACTAGAGAGGTCTGGGGCAGGAGGCCAGGGAGGGCTGTGAGCTCCGTGTGGTGATATTAGCCACTGGACCACAGCCCAAAGCTGGAGCTCAGGAGCCAAGCTACCCAGTTCAAATCTTGGTTCTGCTGTGTATTAGCTGTGTGACCTCCAGCAAGCTACTCAATTTCTCTGATCTCCAGTTTCCTCATTTTATTTATTGATTTTTTAAGGGTTTTTTTTTTTTTTTTTTAAGTAAACACTATCACCAACGTGGGGCTTGAAACTATAACCCCAAGATCAAGAGTCGCGTGCTCCCCCGACTGAGCCGGCCAGGAGCCCCTCCATTTCCTCATTTCAAAAATGGGAATGATGAGAACATCAACCTCAGGAGATCATTGTGAAGAAGAAAAGTGGCAGAGAGCAGAGCCTGCCACGTGGCAAGTGGCTCACTAAATTGCTGTTGCTGTTTTAATACGTAATCATAATTTACTGCGTCCTCAGTGGTCCCTGATGTGGAAACACATCACGGCATGTTGAGTCTGCATGGAACCTTAAAAACCATTCTACTGAGACCGTCTCATCTTAGAAAAAAACCGGGGCCCGCAGATGGCCAACGGGTTTATCCTTCACAATGGGCTCGTCCGAAGACCTACGTATGCCTACAGACACGGTTCATTTTGACCACATCCGCAGGCCTCTGCCAACCATTTCGTCTTCCTACCGTGACCTCATTGGAAATAAAGTTTCTGCTGTAACTGGGTTTAAGGCAGAGCATACGATACTTCACCACGAAGGCCCAGTGAACACCGCATCCCGCCCCCACTCCAGGGCTCCTTACGGAAAGATTTGTGAGAAGACTCGGGGCCCTACTTGCCCACTGCAAGGCTGTATTGTTCTCCCAGGCGGTTTGTGATCACTAGGGAGAAAACGCGCCTCGGGGTAATTTCCGTGTTTGGGGAAAGACACAGGCTTTATGGCCCAGCCAGCTGATCATTTCTGAAAATTGAACACTTCTGAAAATCAACACTTGTTGACCAAACTTGACAGGTGCGATGTCTGTCTTTACTAGGGATTGAATGAAGACGCCCGGTGGCCGTGGGAGAGTGGCCTAGCATGGAGTGGAAGGCCGGGATTTGGCGCTGGATGGATCTGAGGACAGATCTCGACTCCTCGCTTGTCCCTAGGCCATGAGATCGTTTCTTAAACTCTGAGTCTCCAGTCCCTTTGTGAGTAAAATGAAGGAAATAAAACCCACTTCATAGGACTTGGGGAGAATCCCAGAGAAAATGAATGCGCTCGGGAGCTGTGAGCTCCCTTCCGTCTCACGGTGTTCCCTTGAGAAGTAGAACCTGTGCTCACAGAAAGACATGGCGGTGTCATCCATGGACAGGCATTCGCGGAGGGACCTCTACAGAGACCCTTGTTAAGTGCCGGGATGAGGCTTCTCGGGGCCAAATTCAGGTCAATGTCAAAGGAGAGGAGAGAACAATGGACACATTCATGCTTTTAGGGTTCTGTTCAGGCTTCTGGTCTGAAAGCCAACAGCTGACTTGTTTAAAGAAGAGTTTCCATCCTCCTTGGAGCTGATATGGACCCTGAAACGGGTTGGGTCTAGCCCTTCGAGGACATTCCAGAGGGGACATAGGGTGAGCCCAGGGCGACCTCTGCACAGATCTGCCCCCCGTGCTGGGCTGCTGGAGCCAGGGAGAGCCGAGTCTCCCACCCGTTTGCTTCTGCGCTATGTCCTTGCCTTCCCCATGTTCACAGAGGCTCTTCTCTAATGCACTGCCTAGTTTTGAGGCCAAGAAGAAAGGAAAAGAGGAATAGCTGAGGCCTCACATAAATCTACGATGGACCAGAAGAGACACTCCAGGCTCCCAGAAACACATGAAGACTCTGGGAGCGTTCAGCCTCCTGAAATTGTGGCGCTTTCCCCCACATGCTTAATACAAGCTGACAGCCCGCATTGTTCTGCCAAAGACAAGGTAGTCGTATCCCAGTGATAGGGTGAGGGGAGCAGAGGGACAAAGGCACAGGAGCTGAGGAGGGGCGAGGGCAGGCGGTGAAAAATAAAGAGAGAGGGCCGGTGGGGGGTGCCTCTTAATCGGGGGGCCTGGCAGGAGACCCTGAGAACGGCAGCCCACTGACAGTGGAGACCAGGAGCTCCAGATGGCTTTTTGTCTCGATGCAATAAAAAATGTAATCTGACAGGCCCCGGGATGGGGCTGGGGAAACAAAAGTCTGGGGGCAGGGGGAGGGGGTTGCAGGGTGTGGGATTGGGCAGGGTTAAAGGTAGCGAGTCTGAGAAAGACAAAAAGAAGCTACTGTCTCCTCAAGCAATTATAGGCTTTGCAAATGACATTTAATTCCAGAGGTGGTGCACACGGGGGACCAAAGCCAGGTGTTTGCCGGGCTTGGCAAGGGGAGACGTATGGGAAATGCACCAGACATTTGGACCCTGAAAAAAGGTGATAACTTTGCCGATTAACCACGGTGTGGGTTCTTTGTGTCCACACTGCCCTCCCCCCACCCCCACATCATTAGGGGATGATATAAAGATACAAGGCTTCCTGGCGCAGTTTAATTGCTGATAGACGGGAAAGTGATGAGCTCCGTCGTACTCTGCAGACGTCCTGTAGGAGACCAGATGCCATATTAATGCGGCTTCTCAGAGGGGGACACACCCCCGCCTGCTTCACCCGGAATATACAGACACCCAGGGAAACAGGGGTGCCTCTGTGGCCTCGAATGGGGCTGTCGATTTTTATTAACTAATCTCTGCCTTTCAAATCACTGCGTGTTGTCTTCCCAAAAATCTTGGTCGCTGCATGGACCTAGCACTCAGCAGGCTCTTGATAAATATTAAACAGTGGATGTAGGGGACGGCTCCAGATTTCACCATTAAGGGACAGTTCTCCAGGGGACAGATCCCACTGTAGAACCATCGAGTGGTCCCTGTGGCTGGAGAACAGGAAGTTTAAGGTGGGACATTGTAACGATCCTCAGGCAGGAGGTTTAGTGGGTATTAACAAGAGCCTGTTAGCAAGACGAAAATGATAAAGCTAGAAGGTACACGGTTCTGGTGAAGATGTGGGGAAATGGGCCTGAGCCCATGGGATGAGCCTCCACACTCTCATGTGGAGGGAAGGGGAGTTAGGCTTTTTCAAAAACAGAGTGACGACCTTGATCACAATGTTAGCATCCACACCCTGTAAGCCAACGGTCCCACAAACCCACCCTATGGCTGTAGGACAGAGATGTGTGCCAGGCGTAGGCACTGGGTGTTCATGGCAACCCCATTTACGATTTTTAAAAAAGGAGAAATGATCTTAAATACCCACCATTAGGGAAATCGGTGGTACAGCCATACAATGAAATACTCTGAGTTGTTAAAAAATAATGAAGGGAATCTACACCTATTGTCGTGGAGAGACCTTAAAGACACATCATTAACAGGGGGGATCGAAGGGGGCGCCTGTGTGGCTCAGTTGGTTAAGCGTCTGACTCTTAGTTTCAGATCAGGTCCTGATCTCAGGGTTGTGGTATCGAGACCCATTTTGGCTCCGTGCTCAATGGGGATCGCTTGAGATTCTCTCCCTCTGCCCTTCCCCCCACTTGTTCTCTCTCTCTCTCTCTCTCTCTCTCTCGTCAAATAAATAAATCTTAAAAAAAAAAATGGCCCCAAAACAATACATACAGCATGATAGCATGTATGTTGAAAAAAAAACAACACCTGAAATACCTAAATATGGGTGCATGAG